TGAGGTAAAAAAAAAATTATTTGTTTTCTAGCATATTAAATTGTTTGCAAGTGTTTTATGAAATAAAGTATGTATATAGATCTGCATTTATGTATGCATTTATAAATATGTAAAGTGGAAAAGAAATACTTTAGAAGAATGAAATGTATGCTAAATGAAATGTGTTGCTTTGGTTGAGTTATATTGATCTTAATTGATAAGATTAGGGGTTGATGCAAAATATGAATGTGAATGTGTAATGGTTGCATTGTATGAGAGTCATGATCATAAGTGAAGGTGGGAGTTTCATCCTAGGGCAAAATAGAATTAAAAATCCATATGGTATGGATTGTGTAACATCTCAAATTTAATTTAAAGATTTAAATTAGTTATTAGAGATTTATTAATAATTATTGGGTTGATTATGAATTAATTATTGGATTAGGATGGCCATTTAGGCCTATTGGACCCCTTAAAGGTTTAAGATAAGGCGAGGGTTGAACTGGGTATTGATTTTAGGCTTTAGTTAAGCTGCTTGGTTTGGGGGTGTTTGTCGCATCAAATAGTACAACTTGCCATAGCAAAACACATCAAAATTTTAAAATTGCAAAAACATGATTAGACAACATTTAAGAAGGTTTTCGGGAGAGAAACCGAGAGAGGGGCAATGCATTCAACTAGGGTTTACCCTTGGGACATATCTAAAGCATTTTGCTAGAGTATTCTAAGCATTAGGTAAGCCCTAAATACTCTTCTTCTACCTTCTTCTATGCATTTCTGGCTTTTTATTTCTCTAGGGGTGAAAATTCAACCCAGGGTTAGGTTGGAACAACTTCTAGGGTATTTATAAAGGTTATGATGGTTATTTAATGCTTCTATATCTTAATTTCAGTGGTTGATAGCAATTAATGCCATTAATGAGAAGTTTAGAGTTAACCTAATACTAAATAATAAAGTTAAGGCTATTGGGAACTAATGATAGTGATGATTAGACTTATTAGGAGTTAAACAAACAAATAGAAATTAGTTTTAGGGTTGGTTATATAGACTTAATCAGGCTTAATGGACAATTAGGCCTTAATCATGATTAAGAAATAATGTAGTTTCTTTGGCATTATTGGTAGAGCATAATGCACTGAAACTGAGTTTGTGTGAAGCTCCCTTCAAAATCCAAATTTACACTCTTGAGGTGATAAACTAAAGAGTTGAGGTAACTGCAACTCTTATTAATTCATATCATCATGTTTGCAATGGCGATTAATTTACCTAAAATGAATTAGTTGTAACGCTTGGCATGGACTTGTCATGTAATTGATGGCTTAAGTGTAATGATGTAAGAATAGAATGTCTCGTTAAATGTTGATTTATGGTTATATGTTTGTCGAGTTGCCATGTGATTAGAGTGCACAAATTGTGAGTAGGATTGTTGAGGATTCTAAAATTGCATGAGTGGATACATTATATTTGTTGAAGAGTATATGCTATAATATGATGAATATGTGATCTAGAAATTGGATAGAATGTGAGTGATGTTGTTTTAAATTGCATGCCTGTTGTAATGTTACGTATGAGTAAATTGCATATGGTTAATTTAACTAGCATGAACATGATGAGTGAGAGTTCACGCTAGGTTAGTCAAAGGCTAGATTAATAAAATTTACACGGTGTAGCTTTCACTAAATTTGCACCCAATGGTTTGACATATTTGATTACTAATGTATTTAGTATTGCCAATAACCTTCACTATTAGAAAAAACTAAAATTAATGACAAAAAGTTTGTTACTCATTTTAGCTTTAGTGTGATAGATCATTCATTACTATTTTTTATTACACATATGGCGTCACTAATTTAGTGACAAAATCTGTCACTAATTAATAAATGTTTGTGACTAATTTATTTTCTAGTTAATTTTTTTGCAGGTCTAGACACTGCCATGTCACCTGCCTATGCGATGTCTCAATTACATATCACTCTTACCACTTATCACGTCATCGCCACTTGTATCTCCATGTCACGTTACCGCCATGTCAACAATTTATTTTAATTTTCTTTGCTTGTGACGTTACCTTATCTCAAACCTAACACCTCCATCTTTTCATCTACTCTTTTGTCAGTTGAGCTATAATGACTTCTCATTCTTAATATGTAAAATTTAATATATATTACTTAATTAAATACATATGTTTAATTTAATGCACTTTTAATATATTTAATACATATTATTTAACTATGTTGATAATATATATTAATTTTTAGACACACACACATTAACAAATAAATATATAAATTAGTAGATATATTATTTAATAAATATATTATTTAATATCAATATATATTTTATGCAAATAAATATTTTTATATTATTTTATAATATCCATGCTATAATTAAATATTTTTATATCATCAAAATTTTATTTTTATATTTAAATTTAGATAATAAAAGAAAAATTATTTTTATTTTTTCTATATCATTTTATATTATATATTTACTTGTAATAAGTGAAAAAATTATTTATGTAATTATTTAATTTTGTAATTATTAAGATTTTATTCATGTAATTCTCTCCATGTATATTTTAAATTTTTTATTTTATATAAATATTTAAGCATATTTTACTAATTTTTCAATTAAAAATATTTGTTACTAATCTTTTATTAATATAAAGATTTAGTGATGGCAATTAGTGACAGATTTAAATATGTCACTAAATTTATAAAATTTGACAAAAAGGTGACGACATCTTATATCTTTCACTAATCTATTACTAATTTATGTAATTAATGATAGATTTTAGTTCGTCACAAAATTTTCATTACTAATACCTGTAATTGGCGATAGATTGGAGATCTATTATTAAATGTTCGTCACTAATTTTAATTTTTCTAGTAGTGCTTTTAGGGTTAGTAAAGGAGACCATAACACTTGCTATTATCACTTAAAAATCACTATAAGAAGGAGAAGAACTAGAGTTATTTGGATGAGAAATAACTCTAGCATGTGGGTGAAGAATGATAATGAACTTCAACTTCCTCAAGCAACTATTTGAAGAAGAAGAAGAATGCATTCATCCACTTCCTTTCCTAGATGTGATCTTAATTTGATAAATGATCTTGCGACCTTCCTAACTGATGATGAGGTCAATGAAGCAATCTTCTTAATGGGTCCTTATAAAGAACTTGGATTTGATGGGTTTTTCCTAGTATTATTTCAAGAAAACTAGGTAATAGTTGGATATTCCCTTTGCAAGTATGTCAAAAGTGTATTTGAGGAAACTAGTTCTGTTACAGAGGCTAACAAGACGTTAATTTCTCTTACACCTAAAAGAGAAAGGTTGAAGTTTGTTGCATACTTTAGACCCATTTCTCTTCATACAATGGGCTATATGTGCATTATTAAAATTCTTACTAGAAGAATGAAGAGGGGTAATGGATGATTTGATTTCATCTTTTCGGTCAAGTTTCATTTTGGGAAAGTAGATTCAAGACAATATTAGAGTGGGTCAAGATATTATGCACATTATGTACAAAGCAAAGGGAAGAAAAGGCTTTATGGCCTTGAAGAGAGACTTAGAGAAAGCTTATAATCGCATCATGTAGGAATTTCTTCAACATATTCTTATTGATGCCAAAATGCATTTCCAATCTATTCAACTTGTTATGAGTTATGTCTCTTCTGTGTCATATAATGTTTTTATAGAGTA